TGAAGAGAAAGCGTATCACCCGATCACTATCCTCGGGTCATAGGATGTTTAACATATGTCATGAATGGCACACGATCCGACATAGCTCAGGCTGTGAATAAGCTAAGCCTGTTTTTAATAAACCCCGGTAGAGAACACTGGAAAGCGCTTATAAGGTTGCTTGGATATTTGATGTACACCAAAGACTATGGTTTACATTTTCTAAAATGTCCAGCTATGCTAGAGGGATATACCGATGCAAATTGGATATTCGATTCCAAGGACACAAAATCAACGAGTGAATATGTGTTTACCTTTGGAAGTAGTGTTGTGTCGTGGAAATATTCCAAACAAACATGTATTGCAAGATTTACCATGGAAGCTGAATTCTTTGCCTTAGATAAGGCTGGAGAAGAAGCTGAATGGTTGAGAGAGTTTTTGGAAGATCTTCCTTGTTGGGAAGAGTTTGTCCCTCCAATATCCATTCATTGTGATAGTTAAGTTGCAATTGGAAGGGCAAAGAATGCAGTTTATAACGGTAAGTCTAGACACATCCATCGTAGGCATAATACCGTTAGAAAACTAATTAAAAATGGGATCATCTCTCTTGACTATGTTAAGTTGAAAGAAAATATTGTGGATCCGCTAACCAAACCTCTTCCGAGAGAGTTGGTCGAGATGTCAAAGAGAGCAACGGGCCTACGACCAATGATACAATAAAAGTCCATGAGGAAACCCTACCTATTATTGAGAGTGCCTCATAATTAGGTTTAAAGGGAAAACACAATTGTGGACTGGCTCGGGCAGTACTAGTCAAGAGCACTTAGGTTAAGTTACGCTTTTAATGATCTATATATCTTGATACGTTCAAGTAAGGTATGACATGATACCTTCCATCGAGATAACCTATGCCGGTGGACGAAGGCTGCTTCTATGAGAGTCAATGATACAAGATGAATTCTCCTGTGCACGATATACTCTCAAAAACACTAGCTGAACCTTGAGGTGCTCAAGGCCGAAACGAACACAAACTGAGAACCAAAGATGCACCTGGGGCTCTGTGTGCTATTCATTGTCTAAGTTTACACAATGACTAACGGTCCAAAGCAAAGTGCTACCGATTGTCTAGTAAATCCGATGGATATACACTAAGGTAGGCTCAAAGTTTCACAATACCTAACCCTATGCAGAGTTCTCATCTTCACATGCCAAATTCCAATCCGCTTCCTATCTTTAAGCCAATTTCTCATTCATGTGTGTGTGTGTGTGGGGGGGGGGGGGGGGTTGTTGAAAAAATGGTATTACAAATTAATATTATAGTCATTAATATTATTTGTAAAAACATTTTTGAAATGAATGAATGATTTTTCCCCGAAAGATAAGCGTGGAATTATATTTAACACGCACACACTGCCGCCATCAGTCGGTCGGGTCAGGTTCAGGTCTTTGACTAGTCAGCAATCGGGCTTAAGATACTAAGTCAACAATCGAGCTTAAGTCAACAATAAGACTTAAGATATATTAAAATCATTTTAAAATGATTTTCTACAAATAATATATAATTTGTAAAACCAGTTTTCCTAACACTTATAAGTTATAAGTAGTACATTTTCATATATTTGAAGACTCTTGTCTCCATACAAAAAGTCTTGGCAGGTGGAAAGTCAACTCGGATGCTAACATTATAGTCCACCTATTTAGGTCTAGAAATAGTGGCTATGATCCATTGGACCTAAAGAGCCTCTTAAAGAAGGCCATGCTTCTGTACCATACACATAAGGTAACTTTGATAAATACAACAATTCAGCAAACTTAATAATTCTAATTGCTAGCTAAGTGGTGTGATTCAAGGTGGCTATAATGCAAATGTGAAGATACCACACTACAAATTACACTCAGTCACTTGCTTAATCCAATACAAAACATTATAAGCTCACATTCTAGCTCAAACATTACATTGTGAGATATTTTACTCTACATTACAGTCCCTTAACACAAACAATTAGAAAAGAGGAGGCAAACAACCAAGACAAACATGGATGAAACAATGCCAATTCAATATCCAGATCAAAGAAGAAGAAGAGTTAAGCACATTTCATTACATGCAGAGAAAGAGAGAGGCCATAATTGCAGGCTGAGCATTGATTGAAATAAAATTAGGAGGATAATTCTGCAGCCACATCTGTAGCAGAGTTGACTTTCTTCTCATGGTCTCCTCCCTCAAGCTGGCTCAAGTTTCCCTTTTGCTTTATGAGTTGAAGATGGTGGTGCTTGCAGTAAAGGCGGCCTTCATGAGCAATATAGTTAGATGGACTGATCACACATCCTCCATGGCTGCATTTGAAGCAGCTCTTATGGTATGCACTCCCATTCACTGTCACCTATATATCATGAACTTTTATTAATTATTCAACCCCCAAGCATTAATCCCAGGCTAATGGCTTTCACCTACCTTTTCAGTTGGATAAACAGTCTTTTTGCAGCCCACACATTTCTCTCTGGTTCCTCCATAGACACTTGTAGCTTTTGCTGCCAAAGGTTTCTGTTTAAGATGGATTAACTGACAAGTTAAATTCCTTGTCCATTATATAAAGATACAAAGATATGCAAACCAATTGGGCTCTCATGCCTAAAATGTCTCTCAGTGAATATGTTTGAGAGTCTATTTGTGTCTTACCTCAGGTAGTGCAGGTTTCTCTGGTTTCGCAATCTTTGGCGTCCCTGAAACGTTATATATATATATGATGTATCTTTCAGATTTCTCAGTTTTTATAATATGGAAATAAATCATAAAACAATTTCTTAAAAGGAATCATCATTCAGCCTTCTACCATTATCTGTTTTCCAAAATACTTTGTTTGGACTTCAAACTTCAAAGTAAAAGATCTTTCTTTGTTCTTGAAATAATTCTCTTATACCTTCGAAGCTTTTGTCCAAACTTCCAGTTCTTTTGAAGACCTGATCAAAGTGTGGCCTGCAATAGAGTACTCCCTCAAAGGAGTTGTAATTCCCCAGCTGAAAAATGACCACATGCATCAAGATTAATTAATTGAAAACAATGGAACATGAAGATTTAACAACAGCAATTCAATATTGGGTACCAAGTAAATCATAAATCACGAATCTAGATCAATAAAAATAAGCAGGTGAGACAACATGTACAAGGTTCCTAGTTTCCATAAAAGTTATAACTTTTATTTAGGAGATGCTCAACAACATACTACGTATAATGTAAGCACCACAAACATACTTTATCGAAACATTAAAATGGTATTGTCCACTTTATGCTTGAACTGCATTTTTTTTAAAATCATCATCCAAAAGACCTCCATCTCCTTGATTAATTTAGTAAATTTTAAGTTGGACAGGATTTTATTTACTCTGATTTGAGATGTAATAATCTACTTTGGTTTAGTATATTTCAGTTTGGTGATGGTCAGAAAAAAGTTGAAGCCAACACTTAATTACTTAGGTGAACCAGATACATAATAAATTCATATGTGATATGAGACTCAACTCTCAAATTTTCAGTTTGCATTTAGCTCTTGTGATTTAATTTTTTTTGCCAAACCCCTATCTGTTATAATTCGAAAATCACGTGTCTTAATGTCATGATTGATCTATAATGTCCAAGCATATTTGTCACAGTGTATAAATCATTTTACTTGTACTAGCTAGAGAACTAAATTAGTTTTCCAAAGGGATTATGTTCATGATTAATGAAAATGTGAGGGGTTTGACACACTTTTCAAATCACAAAGGCTAAGGGGTTTGGCACATCAAACAGTAAGGAAGATCATCAATGATGAAATCCCCCTAGCCAAACTAGAAATAGGCACCAAGTTTGAATATGAGCAATATATAAAAACCTTGAGGGTGCCTTTGCAGTGGTGGCATCTGAAACAAGCCTTGTGGTAAACTCTGTTGTCTGCAGTTAACTTGTCGACCAGATATACAGTCTTGTCACAGGCCATGCATTTCTGTGTGGTTCCTGCAAATGCCATGCCTTAGATCAATTGATGAACAACTTCTCCTGCTGCTACTCTTCTCTTCTGCAGCTTAATTGGTTTCTCCACCACTTTTGAACTTTAATTTACAAGACTTTGGATTGGGGACATAGGGGGGCTGCAGTTGTCGGATGAAACCAGCACAAATAATATAAAATAGTATACATTGGTCTACCAAAAGTTTGTTTAAATTAAGTTCATGTATTCATTTTTATTATCTGGTTTTGGATATAACTTTATACCATTCGTCTCACAAAATTTGACTAATTTTTCGCATTTAGTTGTGTCAAATTTATGGTCTCTTTTCTCTACATATAAATCCCAACCAAACTGTTACATATTTTTTACTTCCTTATTGTACGTTCAAATTTACTTTGACGAATTTTTTTGGTCGGGCCGGATGTCATAGACATGAGCCAATGGTCTAGAGATGTAAACTGACTTTTAAAGTAAGTTTTGCTAGATTTGTTCTTTAGAGTATCAATGTAATTGACTATGATTAGATCCGGATTAAATGGTCTAGAGATTTTGGAGGGTAGTTCATAGACTCTAATATTATGGGAGCGTAAGCTCAGACACCTATATTATAAAAAAAAACTGATTGTGACAAAAAAAATAAAGAATGGGGTAGTATATATAGGTAATAAATAAATATCGCCAGCTTGAGAGTGCCAACTAACTCTCTCTTAGACCTATTGTTTTCCAATCAGTCTATTCGATTTAGTAACCAGCTTGGAAAATATGAATAATGGTTAGGGGGGTCTTATTCTCCTTACAGCTATACTCATCTATGCTATTTCATCACCTAACAATAATTATTATCGTGTGAAACGGTATATTCATCAGTATATCGAAAATTAAAGTAAACTTGAAAAGAAAGGAACTTTACTTGCTCATGAATCATGATTGTTTTTTGCAAAGACATCAGTTAAAAGTGCACGTGCTATGTTGCTTCGTTTGCAGATATGTATTCGAAACAACAACACAGACATATAACTAAGACATTGTTATAATTATTTCATGCTTTACCATTAAAAAAGAATATTTTTTCTTTTTTCTTTTCGAAAAATATACTCTGTATATTATAGGTTATACGACCATAGAGTCAGAGACAGTTTAACATTTGTATATTGACATAGTCATATTGTACCAATTCAATAACCACTGGTTCAATTTAAACTTATAAAACACATTTATTTTCAATTTTTTTTATTGTCTTCTCGATTGTATTATGAGCTAAATTATTTTGTAACTAAGCTAGACTTGATGAGGAACATGCTCAAAAAGTTTCATTAAAAAGCCACGGGAAACTGCCCTAAACGGTGGAATCATCCTCTAGGAATGATCCCTAAACTAAGTTGGACAAGATCATTTCTCTCTCTCTAAATTGCTTCTTATGTGAAAAATAAGAACTAATCTGAGCAATTGATATGAAAAAATGGATAGAAGAGATCAAATTTTAAGTGAAAAATGTGAAGAGGTTTTGGTAATTATGAAGAACTTTTAATAAAAATATTAAATAAAAAGTGTATTAGAATATGCAAAAAAATTATTTGCATGATTGACCTTTTATTCATTTACTATCCACTTTGTACAATAAATTTGCACATTATTTGACTCTGTGGCTTGTGTTGAAGTTCATCTCATCAATCCATTTAGGAATTGGATATATTCGTGGACAAGATCATTTAGAGAATCATCCCAATTATTTGACTTCGTGTCTTGTGATTGAAGTTCATCTAATCCATCCATTTAGAAATTGGATATATTCATGGACAAGATCATTTCTCTCTCTCTAAAGTGCTTGTTAGGGCAGTTAGGAATGATCGTGTTGTGGAATCTACTTACGAGGTGTTTTAGAGTTACCGATGAAAAATTGGACAAGATCATTCCAAGACATTTTGTGGAATCATCCTTAAACTATGTTGGATAAGATCATTTCTCTCTCTCTCTAAAGTGCTTCTTAGGTGAAAAATAAGAACTAATCTGAGCAATAGATCAAATTTCAAGTGAAAAATGTGAAGATGTTTTGATAATTATGAAGAACTTTTAATAAAAATATTAAACGAAAAGTGTATTAGAATATGCAAAAAAATTACATGTAGAGCACAAAAGTGCATAATAGTACACCATAAAATGTGCACACATTCTAAAAATGTGCACTCATTTACTATCCACTTTGTACAATAAATTTACACATTATTTGACTTCATGTCTTGAGATTGAAGTTCATGTGTAAATTACTTTTTACTTGAACCGAACCACACATTTATATGGTTTAATTTCCGCTTACATTTTAAAATATGTAAAACTGCACACATTAGAACAATTGTTTTATTTTACCTATTTGTCATGTACTATCGATGCTAAAATCCTCACCAATGTTCATACCGTTTCAAGCCGCTAGGGAAAAACAAATTGGGGGCACGATCTAATGAAATGAAAACTCATTTAATAATATTGAAATGGACTGAATGATTTTTGGAGGTAAGAAGCGGTCTCTCCCTCACGTAGGATTTCTATCCGCCGCCTTTCGTGCGAGAAGCATACGATCGGCAAACATGGCGGCGTTTTTGCAGGGAAACAGACGAGGTCGAGGCGGAGTCCATCCACAGCCGGAGGACGTTTTTCAGGAGGACGAAGGGGACTAGTTGAAGTCAGCCGGTGCTGGGAGCGTAGAGTCCTTGATCGGCCAGTACGTCGGCATGGGGTTGGGGCATTCGGAGGAAGAATTGGTGCTAGATGACGAGGATGAGGCGGAGAAAGACCCTGGGGCAGCGAGCAAAGCGGTGGAAATTTTTCCCACTGTTGGCACCATCCTCACGGATAAAGTGATAAAGTTTCAATTCTTTCGCGATCGGATGTCGTCTCTGTGGTGCCCGGGTAAGGGTGTTCTGATTCAAGAAATCGGGGAGAAGAGGTACCTGTTTACTTTTTATCATTCAATTGATAGGAATCGTGTGTTGAATGATGGACCTTGGCTATATGACCAGAACTTGTTAGTTTTAAAAGCTATTGAGCAGGGCGATATGCCCCTGAAGGTTCCTCTTGATACAGTTGATTTCTGGGTACAAGTACATAATATACCTTATGGATATTCTAATCTGGGAAATGCTCGTAAAATTGGAAACTATTTGGGTAAATTTATTTCCTGGGATGATAACCAGTTTGATGAGAAATGGGAGGCCTATATGAGGGTTAGGGTCAAGCTAGAGGTGAGGAATCCCTTAAAGGTGGGTATAAATCTGAAAAAAGGAAAAGGGGAAGGGAAGTGGGTGGACTTCAGATATGAGAAAAATTCCGAGTTTTTGCTTTGCTTGTGGTGTTATAGGACATGCTGAAAAATTTTGTCCTTTATTGTTTGAGAAAGGAGAGAATGAGGTTGTGAGACCTTTTGGGCCTTGGCTTCGGGCAGGAGCAGGGCGAACTCGCCCTTCCATGGGAAGTAAGTGGCTGGTTAACGACGGAGGGGCAGGAAGGGGTCTTGGGGGGTTGCATACGTATCCCAATGATAAGCAGGAACAGGGGCAGAATTCTATGCAGAACAAGATTCAGGAGAAAGGGGAAGGGTCGAAGCCTGAGGAAGCAAGGATTATTGGCAGTGGAACGGGAGAACAGAAGAGGAGGAGGACCTGGGATGCACAGGACCAGGAGCAGGAGCAACCAGAAGAGGATGTCATGGCTCTCGACGGCACAAAAAACAGGGAAGAGGCAGGCTGGGATTCTTTGACCCGCCAAAACATGTGAAGATTTGGGGCTATTGGAGTTATGAAGTTTTTCTAAATTTTAAACTGGTTTTTCTTTATGTTGGTTTTTGCTTTGGTCATCGAATACTCTTGTTTGTTGTTATATTTATTTCGGTCAAGACTCTTGAACATAGGACAGGTGATAGAGAGCTGGGTTTACCAGTCATTGGCTCAAGTAAGCCCAATTCAGGATCAGCGAATTTGGTTGCTTCTTATGAGGTGGCATGTTCTAAGTCTGGTTCACGGGCAGACGGTAGGCATTTGGCTCTTTGTCGGTTTGTATCCTGCTTGCGTTTGATCTTATTAATATAAGTCATATTCTTCCAAAAAAAAATATTGAAATGGACTGAATTGACTTGATTTTTTCAGTAATAAACCAAAACTAAGGTTACCAAATAGTCTCCTAAACTCATTAAACAATTCATACCTGATCAATGTAGAAATAATTTTTTATAAAAAATAATTATCTTATGTTAAGTTGGTGAAAATACGACTATTTAAGTTTGAAGCTGAAAACAAGTTGCAAACAAATCTAAGTTTCAGTTCAAATTCTAGATTCAATGAGTAGATGGTAAAGTGTCATTTACAAATATTTGATACTTATTGTCAATGAAGGACGGGTCAGTTCTTATTTGATACTTAATTATCAAATTAAAATCGAAAAAGTAGGCATATCGTGTTCTTAATTTCACTTTAGGATTTCAATTTGTAAAAAAATTGTCAATTCATCCCTGATCCCTCATTCCGCAGTTTATAAATATAGGGTAATTTATTTCAAATTAAACATGTAATTCTCGGTGGATTTGGCTTGTAACTCTTTAAAAAATTAAAATCAGTGTGGATTAAAATATTAAACTGTTAATTTTTTTTAACAATACTGACTTAACTTTTCATTACCAAAGAGATCAACCGGGCCGAACCAAAACAGGTTACAAAGTGACAACAAGTCTCCTGCCTACCGTCCGCCCAAGGACCAGACTCTGAATTAATCACCTCTGTAGAAGCCATATAATTCGCTGATCCCGCTTTGGGCTTACCTGAGCCAATGACTTCCACACATGACTTCTCATCTCCTGTTTTAGATTCACTAGTTTTTTTGCTGGAAAAACACAGCAAAATCAAAACAAAAACAACATCCAGTACGTGGGGAATAAATAAAGCAGAATAAATAGAGTAAATAAAGTTCTCGGCTAAAAGAGTCGTAATCAGCATCAGATCATCTGGCAGGGCTGGATGCCAGCGCTCGCCCCTACCCCGTTTTTTGGGGAATCCAACGCCATAGTATCCTTTGCAGAATCCTCTCTAGCCTGTTTCTCCCAAGTTCTTCTTCTCTTCAACTCTCCTGGCGCTCCTTCCTCTTGTATCCCACCTGAGGTCATAACATTCCCTATACCAGATTTGGTGCTCCCTTCTGTCTCATTCGGGTCCCCCTCCTGCACTGACCTCGCCATATTTGATATGTATGTGCCCCTTCCAGAAGAGCTCCCTTCCAAAACCAGTCATTTATTGCCCATGTTTGACTTTACTTTTTTTCCACTTGCTTTAAGCCATGGTCCAAAAGGTCTGGTTATAGCTTGCCCCTCATCTTCGTACAAAAGAGGACAAAACTTCTCTGCATGTCCAATCACACCGCAACAAAAGCAGAAACTTGATAGCTTTTCATACCTAAAGTCTACCCAATACCCTTCTCCCTTGCTCTTTCTTAACGTGGTCCCAATCTTTAAAGATTTGCCAGGACTCTCACACACATATAAGTCTCCTTTTTTCATTAAATTTTTGCTCATCCCAAGTGATAAATTCCCCCAAGTGGTTCCCAATCCTCCTAGCTGTTCCCACATTTTC